CATCTATAACCTGTACCGAGATGCTTGCCTTTTTGATGAGGGTGGATGGGGAGGGAGGAAGGGAGAAAATTTGTAACCCAAAGTTTTAAAAACACATGTTAAAAATTAAAAAATTAAAATTAAAAATAAACAAATAAAGACTGGGGTCAGAGATATGGCCTAATCAGACCTGCTTCTAGTGCTGGCTTTGACATTGAATGATTCTAAGACTTTGGACTTCTCTGGGCTTCAGCTTCCCTCACCTGTAAAATGAGGTAAATGACTAGATAACCTCTGAAGTCTCTTTTCCGGTTATATTTCATTTTAAGATAAGACTACTATGGAGTCTAATAGTTCAGATACAGAGTTAAGCCCCATGTCTAATGGCATTATGGGACCCACCTGAAAGAAGATAAATAGGCTCAAATGAATCATTTAACTTTTAGAGGGATTAAGGGCAGAGCTGGAAACCTTAATTTAGATCCTCTGCCTCCTGCACTAAGAATTGAAATCACTAAACCAGGACTGTTAAGGAATAGTGGGGAGTCTCTTTCCTAAGAAAGTGCCTCCAAAATTGATGTTTAGATCATTTGTTTCTTTCCATACTGGCTGATCAGAAAGTGGCTTATCTGTATTAAAGCTATTATCATTAGTCACTCAGCCTTGTCATTTTGGAATGCTAACAGAGATGAGGAAAACTCTAAGCCTGGAAAGTGTCAGCTCATTTCATCCCTCTGGAAACGATCCCAAGGAGAAAGTTTGGGGTTAAGGGAGAAAAACAATTTTCCCACCTCACTCCAAATAAAAGTGTCAAGTCCTTCTGCTGCCTTCTTTGAGATTTGTTTTTGCTAGTGATTTGCTTTTACTTAACTGTAGGTGGTAACCAATTTTGCCTCAGACCAGAGCTCATTCTAGCAGGACAAACAGTGAGCTCCCTAACCTCTATCTCTTGCAGGAAATTAAGCAAGGGAAAAACTAGACAGATGAAATAAGCTCCCAGCTTTGGCATCTCTGGCTGTACTCTGGCCTTAGGGACACTGGCTCCCAAAGTAGTCCCAGTGGTTCAGCTGAGCCAAAAATAAAAATTCTATGCAATTCTTTATCAAAGTAATCGTTGTGGGGGCAGTTAGGTGGCACAGTGGATAGAGCACCAGCCCTGGATTCAGAAGGACCTGAGTTCAAATCCGGCCTCAGACACATAACACTTACTAGCTGTGTGACCCTGGGCAAGTCACTTAACCCCAATGCCTAGCCAAAACAAAAAACAAACAAACAAACAAAAAAAAGTAATCACTGTGTCAAAGAATATTAGATCTAGAACCAGAAGACCCATGTAAGAATACTGGCTCTGTCATAGAAGTGACTTTCCTTCTCTGATCTATGAAACGAAGTATACTTATATTAACCTGTTTCAGAGAGCTGTGAGAGAAAAGCACTTTATAAAACATTAAAGCTGTGCAAATGTGTGCTATTACTATAATACTCCAATGAATTTGTGTTTTCATTGACATATTCCTTCCAACAATGCAAGTACATCCATCCACCCTTTTTCATCCTATGTGATTTGTCCATGCTTTCCCATAAGTCTTCCACAAGGGGTCCATCCATGGCCTGGAGAGATGTAGGTGTCTTCCTCTAAATCTTGTGAAACTGTGAGCACCAAAGTAGCAAAAAAAGATATCCGGTAGTTATCACTCATTCTCATATGACTGTCCCATCTCCTCTTCCATTTGTATATTTCTTCCATGATAACATTTGTCTCTAGCAAATTGCAGCCTAGTTACATTCATTGTTGCCCTAATCTGACATTTTTATTCCTTCAAGACTATGGTAAAGCATGATTCATCACCAAAAAACATCACTGGAAGAAGATTGGTTTTTAAAACAGGCTTTTCTATGTGGGAGAAGCTTTGGGTCACTGAGAGAGCAGCACAATATCCCAAATGCAATCCAGTCACTATCTTCTATTTAATTGTGGGCATAGTTTCACTATCTACCTGCATTTATCCAAAATAAATGTACTGATGGACCAGTTGTATGAGCTGTCTCGCCAACTATCAAACAATCTGGACAATCGGCATTCTTGATTATGGTTTTTCGTGTGTGAATAGTTAGGCTGAACTTGAAAACTCTGCTACAGTCCACTGCATGATTCAATTGGCAGGTTATCTACAAACAAAAGCATCTAGAGGGAATGCCTTTGTCAATTTGTACTGAGCTGGCCATTTTCCATAACGTGGCAAACATCTGTGGGGAGCATGTCTCCCATTTTATACCTCAAATGAAAGTAATAATCAGATCATTGAATGAAATAACCTATGTTGTTGCACACATCAAGGAATATTTTATGATCTTCCCATATGGATGGAATACACCAACAGAGAGCTTTCAAGCTTATATTTTGCTCTACCAAATCAAATGCCTTTTTAAATTAAACCAATAAACAATAACCAATTGGAGGTTCTTATATTCATTGTGCCTTTCAATCAATAGCGTGACTAAAGCTATAGTCTATCATAAAATATTTTCATTTTTTTTTAATCAAAGATATCCTTAGTACATGCTTAAGTGGTTCTTAAATATTTTAGAGATGAGGTAGTTACCATATGGTTAGATCATAATTGTTAACTTCTTAATCATTTTTGGCAATACTTTTTGTCCTTAATTTTGATATCTTCCTCTAATTTCAGATATCTTGAAAAACAATCCCTCAGCACTCTCAAAACTGTGTTGATTCCCACACAGACCTCCTTCATATTGTGGGTCTAGTTTAGTGACAGCTCCTATTTTTGTTTTCTTTTGTGTCATTTCTACTTCCTCATGTAAGCATATCAAGAACTGTGATACTGACTCCAAATTTGGTGGCCCTATTGTCATGGATGAAAAAAACAATGTTGTAGAAACCTTAACAGATCTTTTCCATTAACAATCTGTTTGTTGTCCTTCAAGTTTCATTTCTAAATGTGCTTGTGATAATCTGGCTTAACTGGGTCTCATATGCTTAACACATCTTCCCCTCTACCACTCCTTGTTCTTTCATGAGTTGAAAGTGCTCATAACCCTCCACTATCCTTTGGAGTAAGATTTCATAAATGAATTTATATTCTAATCCCATGTTGCATCTGAATGCTATGCTTCTCTGACTGGCAAAGAGACCAAGTGTTTGTTGGCTAAGGTGGTTCCTAGATTCTTTCAGTCTTCTTGCAATGGTTACTGCTATATAGGTTAAGCTTCCAGAGAAAATAGTAATCTTCTGTATTAATGGCTGTTCCTTTATCCATTTCCCATTTTTTCATCTCAATAGCTTTTTAAAATAAGTCAGGTTTAAAAATATCCTTTAATAATTAATCATTCTTTAATAATGTGCTAATTCATTTCATATTTGTTCTTTCTCCTAATTTGGTATATTAATTGTAATATTTACTTCAACAGTTCAGTGGTTTGACCACACAGAAAGCAGATTTGAAAACAATTTCTGTATCAGTTACCAATCATTCTTTAGCTGTTAAAGCAGTTAATTTCAATTTAGTGAGGTGGTTCAGTGCTCACCAATGTCCAGTGACTCTTGTCCCGTCTTCTTGAAAAAAATATTTCTGATATGCTAGAATAAGGTTACCAGAACATTCTAAAAACTTTTGATTCTTCTTTTGTTATTTTGCTCCTGAGCCATATTTCCAACATATTTTCTTTTGGTCACATACACCCTCCCCCCTCCAGACTCACCTTTTCATTATAGGCACCAAGTATACTAAAAATATATGTGGTCTTATAAAAGTTTTCATAGAATTTCACTAACTCCTAATCCTCTGCAACAGATGTCTGTGCATAAATTATCTTCTTTTTTTGCTTATGTTCATCATAAACACACACAAAAAAAAGCATGGGATAATATAGAGATCAAAAAAATATCCTATGAAATATTTCTTGTTGCCTCTGACAAAACCAACTCCATCAGCTCCTTTACTTGTACCTTCAAAGAATGCCTGTGAGCCTTCCACTTAGAGATTACTACTTTATATCTTTTGGTTTCATTTATAGTGAGAATGTCAATATTGATAAGGTCCAAATCCTCTAGTCAACAGATAAATGTTTATTGATGGTCTAAAAACTGTGATTCTTAGCATGTTCTTCCTCCCTTCCTGTAACTCTGTTACCATCAATAAATAATCTGAAGGGTACTGCACAGACCTGAGGGACATTTCTTTTTCTTTTTTTTCTTTTTTCCCCCGGTTTCCTGGGTTTCCATGGCCAAAGAATACGCCACTTAGTGGCCAGCGTACTGGTGCCATGCTGCTCTGCACTTAACTAGGCTGGTCCACAAAAAAAGTTTGTTACTGGGCCTATGCAGAAGCCTTTCTAGAACCTGCCAGAACTTGTGTTCTGCTGGCACTGTGTTCAAGAACTCAGGATCACTTCCAAAGGAGGCAGCAGCATTAGAGTAAAACTTGGAGAGCCACTATCATAAACAAGAACAAATCCCAGAACACAAAAGAGGGTCCTGACTTCCAGGTATTGCTCCAAATAAGCCTGGAGATATTTAGAGTCTGTCAAGACAGAAGCAATGATAAAACATGCTGAAGGGCCAAAGGAGTCAAATAAGATACAGGTCAGTTCTCCCCAGCCACCAAGTTTCAAAATACTGAGATTGCTATCACTCCTTACAGCTCAAGGTGGGTCTCTTTAGCTTTCAAAAAGTACTGGGTAGTCAAGAGTGAGCTTAGTAGTGAACTTTCTTTCCAATACTACAAATCTTTTGATGTCCATAAGACTCAACCCATAGTCAGATAATATAATCTAAAACTGAAAGTGGCCTTAAGAGTTCATTTGGTCCAAAACCCTCATTTTATTGATAGGAAACTCAGACTCTTGAGAGTTGTGAGTGAGGCTGGGATTCAACACCAGGTCCTCTAACTCTAAATACAATAGTGTACTTTGCTTTTCCTTCTGAGGTCACACACACACAAAGGAAGGCATGGAAAGGGATATAACCAATGAGGTAACTATTTCTTCCATCAGTGTTTTTGGAATCATACTTTTTCTGCCCCAACTCTATATATACTTTATTGTATTTAAATGTATTTATGTAAAAAAAGAGATAGCAGAGAATAGATCCAATAACACTATACTAGAGGACAAGGATATTATACCAGGTTCCTTGAAAATAGCTCCCTTATTTGAAAATACAAGGGCTTTGCTGTAGGCCGTGGTAAGAAGACTGTATATACCTCCAAATCACTTATTTCTTGGGAAAAGCTAGTGCAAAGAAGAGTTGCTGCACAAAGGTAAGAGGATATTTGTTATACACGGTTCCTATTTTCTTCTAAGGGACCCTGCCTTAAAGGGGGCAGATATCTAAGAGAAAATTGTAGGAGGAAAAAAGAAAAAGAAAAAACCCTACAGAAACAGAGCAAGGTTGGCACATATTCCTTAAATATCTCAGTACCTCTTAGGCTACTTACTGTCTTCTATTTCAGCTGAATGGACCCCTGGGAGACAACCCTGCCACAAGTAGGATGTTAGCTACTGCCTATACCCACCTTAGTGGTTGGGGGGCTGGGGAGCCAGCCAGACCCACCACACCACACTCACCACGCCTCCCTTGTCCCCTTCCATGAACTGGATGATTTGGCAGGATGATTTCTCCCAAAGGAAGATGTGCCCACAGTCGCTGCCGCTCACCACAAATTCGCTCTTAGGGCCATAGAAATTGACGCCTTTCACTGAAATGGGAAGTGAGGGGAAAGATTCCCATATGAGGATTGGCACCAGGCCTGTATCCATCTGCTTTGCTCAGAGCAAAATGCCCAGATATTCCAGCTCATGTTCCCCATTCAGCACCAGCACTAACTAGTTCTAGCTCAGCTCTGAGCCAATGGGATCTTTTTCATTTATAAAGAACTCAAGCGAGCACATGTGTATCGAAAATGGCCACAAGAGAGGGAACTACCACAGACCTCAGAGCTTATTTGTATTCTTCCAAATAGCTACTCTTACAGCAGGTACTTGGTAATCCATAATAAAAAAATGTTACAGTTGGTAAGAACTGTACAAACTATCCAAATCCCTCATCTTAACAATGAGGAAATTAGAAAGGGAGTATGGCTTGCCCAAGGTCACACAGCTTCTAAGTGACAGAGCTGGAATATGAATTCTGGTTTCCTGAGTCCAAGTACATTATGTGCTCCACTATACTACAATTCCTCAGTACCAACCTTAATCTGTCCAGTTTGATGATTAATGCAGGATAGCCATTATTAGCCTATTTGGCTATCCACTCACAGGCCTACCTAGGTTTATTGACCACTACATGGGTACTACTGTTCTATACCCTAGGAACTTAACTACTGAAAAACAAAAAAACCTCATCACAAAAAAATGCTTTATCAATATTTTCAGAATCATTAGCTTCCCCAGCCTGATGAACATTTGTTTCACAGACACCAGGAGCATTTAATCTCAACTGATCCTGAAAATCAGAAAAAGAGAACTGTATTCTCTGTATTTAATAGCAGAGGTCAGGAATCTGACCTGATATAATCAAGTTCCACAGCTGCCAATATTTTAGGCAGTCCTTGCTGTCCTCTCTCTGGCATGCTCAGATCTATGCTAAGTCCTGCTAGTGCTACGAAAAATAATACAGGTGAATGACCTAAGAATATCACACTCAACCCTACAGCATTCAGGACAGATGTAACTTCTAGGTCAGGTGTAATAGTAACCAGTAGAATAGATGTCAATTTTCAGTGGCACTCAGGGTACTGCTAACACCCATGATGGAAAGAGTGCTAGACTTAGAGGAGTCAGGAACACCTGAATTCAAATCCTACATCTGGCATTTTATTAGCTGCACAGCCATGGGCAACTTACTATTTTCAACATCCATTTTCTCATCTATAAAACAAAGCTATGACCTGTAGTATCTCACATATAGTTGTTGGGAGGTTCAAATAAGATAAAGCATTACATAAATGCCAACTATGATCATAACCCTATCCCCACCACAAGCCCCCTACTCTCCCCTTTCACATGAATCAGTAGGGGTTCAACACTGCACCCCACTTCCCTCTACTTTATGCATCACTGACTAGTACATACATGTTAGTTTCTTATAATTCCCATGTGCCAAAATGAAAGGAGTCAAAACCTTGGCACAAAAATTTGGACAAGTTACAAATTTTGTTCTATGACTTTTCAATAGTTAAAAGATTCTCCCAGGTTTCTCCACAACTGTATAAGCCTCTCTCCTAACAAACCCCTTGAGCCTCATTTATCCTGAATACCATGACCCAAAGAGATCTCCATGTGGAAAAGCCCTTCACTACCCACACTGACAAGAAGAGAATTCTAGTGGCTATCTACTCCAGGTCCTGTAGATGTCCAACTCCCCACAGAAACAGTAGCATGGCACATGTGTCAAGAGTCTTTACCTGTAGCATTATTTCGGTGCCCCTTATATCTCTTGATGTACTGGGCACCATCGCTGTGAGAAGAGTTGAAGAGATAAATGTCTTCATCATTGTAACTGGCAAGGAGCTCTGCCGGAAACAAGGGTATAGTGATGAAGGCATAGGAAGAAATCAGAATCATGAATTGGAAGACAGTTTCCTATTATATGAACCACACTGAAGATAGTGACCTGACCATGTGTCTAGGGCACACTATCCACAGAAGGCAGGGGTCTCGGAAGAATAACAGCTCCTAACTTAGGGATAAGTTATGTACATTAAGAATGTGATAGGTGAAGGCAGTTAAGCCTTGAGCTTGGCTAGGTACAACCATGACCTGCATACTCTGCAGGATTCCCTTACATCTCAGAGCAAGGGGATGTTGTTCCCCTTTTATCTTCCCTAGATGTGTTAATTGTTAGAATCCCCAACAGCTCCACCCAGAGTTGTGACAAAGTGGTATGCTCTGAAAAGAATATCCTTCTCATTTTCAACTGTTCCCTGGAGGGGTCGTGCTAGCCTAGGAGCTGGTCATGCCTACATACCTGTGCCATCGTGGCTGTACACAAGACAGGTGATGTTTGCTTTGGACTCACTGTTTACCTGCAACAAAGAGCAGACATTGACATCCAACCATTTGTCAAACTTCTTCACCTTTTCAGGAAAATAGGTTTCCTTTTCAATTTACCCTAAAATATTTACCCCTCAAAGAAGGACTGCAGCACCACTGAAATGTGGTCTGCCATCTCTTATTGAAAGGGGTTCCAGGGCTCACAATAAAGGAACTGCTGAATCATAAGAACAATGAAATCTAATCTAAGAATCTAGGTGACGGTTCACAGCCAAACTTCAAATAGACACAGATTCTCGGTAGTCCAACCTGAACTTTAACAAGAATCTCCTCTACATTATACCCAACAAGTAGTCATTCATTCTTTGCTTGAAGAACTCCTGGGAAGGGAATCCATCACCTCCTAAGGTAGCTCATTCCCCCTTTAAACAGTCAAAGTGAGTCAGGTAAGCCTAAAGCCAATAATCCATCATGGACTTTACCAGGTGATGAGGACAAAATTTCTTCAGCACACCATTATTCTCATTCTCATCAATTTTACGCTGGTCATAAATCCTGTGGGAGGAAAAAATAAGAAATCAATTTGTACACATGGCTGCCACAGTATTGTATATTTCCTGGAAATGGGAAAGGTAATAGTAAATTGGAAGAGTAACAGGCACAGAGAGAGACAGAAGGAATGGTCCCTACCTGAGCCATTACTTACCAAAAACTAAGTCAGAAAAGAAGTCACTAAACTGTACACATCTTTTGATCCAGCGATATCATTACTTGGGTGGCAAGATCAAAGGCAGAGGAAAAAGTCCCAAAGAAAGAAAAATATTTATAGCTGCACCTTTTATATTAGCAAAGAACTGGGGGGAAAAAAGTTGAACAAATTATGTAATGGAATATTACTGTACCACAAGACATGAAGAATATAAAGAATTCAGAGAAACTTTGGGAGACTTGTAAGAATTGATGCAGTGAAGTAAGCAGAACCAGGAGAACAATTTAAATGATGACTACAACAATGTGACAAGGAATAGAACATTGAGAGACTTCAGCCCTCTGATCAATGTAGTGACTAATCATGACTTCAGGAGACCAATGGTGAAGTATGTCTACTGCTTTTTGAAAGGAAAATGCTGGACTAAAGGTCCTCCTGAATGAGGCATACATTTTCAGAGCTGACCAACGTATCACTTTGTTGGAATAAACTTATTTGTTATAAGGGAGAGATCTACAGGAGATGGAAAGGAGCCAATGTGAAGCAACAGTGTGTGTGTGTGTGTGTGTGTGTGTGTGTGTGTGTGTGTGTGTGTGTGTGTAAAAAGGAGCAGCAATAAAACTTTTTTTTCAAAGCAGAGATAGAATATCCCCATACATTGGCACTATGCTTTGTAATGTATGGAGTCCTTTCATACAGCCTCTTCCTTTTCTCTGTCTATCCAGATTCTAGTTATCCTCAAAGGTCCAGCTCGTTTCACCTTTTCCAAGAAGTCACTATCAACTATGCCAATACGCAGTTACTTTTCTTTTCTCTGAATTCCTATAGTACTTCTAATCTATGCTACTCATTTGATGTATATTACCTACCATTGTCATTCTTTCCGTAACTAGAATAAAAGTCCTTGAGGGTAGAATTTATGTCTTGTTCACCTTTTAATCCCACTATTATGCTTAGCACTGTGATATACCGCACATAGTAGATGCTCAATATTTGTGGCACTTTTTCAAAGCTGCAGCTAGATTCATATTTATTACACAGATTTCTCTGCAGAGTTTGCCACTCAGAAATGTCCTTATTCTTTCTCCAAAACTTTTTCAAATATTCCTAAACCAGCTTAAGGAATATAGTAACACAAAGACTTACTAATTGCTACCTCCTCCACTTGCCTAAGAATTGTTTTTTCCCCTTTACTTGTCACAGCCTCCACAAAGTCCTACTCCAATACCTCATTTTGGGCTAGATGTGATCCTGGGTTAATGAAGGTTATACCAGTGGGGTGCAAGTGTAAGTTCTCCTGTGCTGGGAAGGCTTTAAGTATGTTCTCACTGACACAATATCTGCTTACCTAGATTCAACCTAAGTACACAGAAGTTTATTAACAGCACGCTAGCCAGTAGGTGATGAATTCTTCAGTCATGGAAATTTATGAAACAAAGAAATAACTCTCAGTCTTAAAGGTGAAAGGAATATGGGCAACATAAAAAATAAAAGATATGAATAAAAATGTATTTTTAAAAAGTAAAAAAAGTCAGTTCACCAGAGATGGTAGCAAAGTGGCAGAAAATGCTAAGAATTACTCTGTTTTTAGACTATAATTATTAATTTAGCCACTGGTACTATGAGATCCTTATCTAGTGATCAAGTAGGTAACTCTATTGGCAGAAATGATTCATATTTATCTTGACATTTTTGTTTTAAATGAAACCAGAAAGCAAAAGGAAGGTTGCAGAAACTGTTATGGAGATAGGGACATTCAAAGTACAAACCCAGAAGAAAAGAATGACTCTAAAATACTGACAAGCAAAGTTTCAATGTAAAACACAGCTGGGCGCAAATTCAACTAGAATTCCTGGAAGAGATAAGTATGAGTTTAAAAAAAGTTTCAAAATGTTTTTTTTTATAAATGAGAGCACTAGAAGAAAAAAAATAGAAAAAAAATGAGAGCTATTGAAGAACTGGAAAGGAAATTAATAGGCTGGCACACTTGCACAAGCAACAAACTCCCTGAAAATAAGAATGGACCAAATAGAAGCTAACTGACTCCATGAGACAACAAAAATATTAAAACAAGATCAAAAGACTGAAAAAAAATAGAAAAAAACATGAGGTATCTCATAGCAAAAGCAACTTGCCTAGAAAATAGGTTGAGAGGTAATTTAAGAATCACCAGACTACTTAAAAACCATGACCAAAAAGAGCCTAAGTATCTTACTTAAAGAAATCCTAAAAAAGAAAAAAAAATTGCCTACATTTTTGCCAAGAAAACTGTCCAGTACCAGAAGAAATAGAAACAAATCTACCAGTTACCTCTTGAAAGAACTTCCAAAATGAAAACTCCCAGGTACACTATTGTCAAAATCCAGAGCTTTCAGGTCGAAGAAAAAAAATATTGCAAGCAGCCAGAAAGAAAGAATTGAAGTATTAAGGAGTCATGGTCAAAATCACACAAGATTTAGCAACCACCAACTATATTAGGAACAAAGAGCTTGGAATGCAATATTACAGAAGACAAAGGCTATACACTTACAACCAAGAATACTTACTCAGCAAAACTGAGTATAATCCCATAGAGGAAAAAAATGGATCTTTAATAAAATAGAGGACTTCCAAGCATTGCTAAGGAAAAGAGCACACCTTGTTTAGGAACTCCAAAGTAAAAACATGGGAGTCAAGAAAAACATAAAAAGGCAAACATGAACAATCATAAGGGACTAAGCAAGGATAAACTGCTTACATTCTAATATGGGGTGATGACATATTCCCTCTAAAGCCTATCATCATCAGGGATCATTGAAGGAGTCTAATTAGAAGGTCTAGGGGTGGTTCTTTTATTTCTTGATAATCTTGGAAGAAAGGGAGAGAAGGATTTATTAAGTGCCTACTACGTGCCAGGTGCTATGCTAAGTACTTTAGAAATTTCATTTATAATTATTTCATTTGATCTTCACAACAACCCTGGGAGGTAGGTGCTTATTATTATCCCCATTTTACAAATGAGAAACTGAGTAAGACAGAGGTTAAGTGACTTGCTCAGGTCCACACCGCTACAAAGTGTTTAAGGTTGGATGTGAATCCACTGAACTACTTAATTGCCTCTGTAAAGGGAAGAAAAAAGGAATACAATGATGGGGAAGGAGAAGGGATAGGGGAAATTCTCTCATATAAATGGAGTACTCAAGTAGAAATCTATATAATCAAGAAGGAAGAGGGAAGATAAAGTTACTGACCCTTAAACCTCATTCTCATCTAAATTGGTTAAAGGAGAGAATACACACACAGCTGGGTAGAGAAATATATTCCAATCAACAGGGAAAAAGGAAAGGCAGATTAATAGAGGGATTAGTCCTAAGCAAAACAAATTCTAACTAAGGATGTACAAAAACATGTATAGTTCTTTTAATGTTAGCAAAAAATTAGAAATTGAGAAGTTGTTCATCAACTGAGTAATGGCTGAACAACTTATATCATATAAATGCGATAGAATACTACTGTGCTACAAGAAATGATGAAAGGAGTAGTGTTAGAGAAATCTGGAAAGATTTATAGGAACTAGTACAGAGTGAAGTGAGTAGAACCAAGAGAACAATTTATATGACAACAATATTGTAAAGTAAACAACTCTGAAATTAGAAACTCTGATCTTTGTAATGACTGACCATGATTCCAGATGTCTCATGATGAAACATGCTACTTACTTTTTGATAGACAGGTAAAGGACTCAGAATATAAAATAAAACATTTGGGGAGGGGGAATAGAGATTTTGTAACAGGTGTTTTGTTTTTCTCAATTGAGGTGAGATAGGAGAGAAAGTAGATTTTTAATGACTAAAAAGAATTTACTTTAAAAAATACAATGCTACCTTCCACCCCTAACTTGCCTTTTAGGTATCTTGTTTATTGTGAATAAAGTATATCCTTCCAGGGGGAAAAAAAAGAAGTTGACCCTAAATGGAAAGATGGCATATAGACTTCTAGGAGAAGCAAATAAAGGAGTTAGTTTTGTCACATGTTCAGAGGCAATTAAAAAAAAATGAGGAAGAGGAGAGTCAGCATTTATACAGTGCTTTAAATTTTTTGTAAAACAAAACAAAACAAAACACCATGAAAACAGTTGTGACTTATCCACCAGTATCCGTTCAAGGGGATGAGATAGAGAATCTGACAAAGAATTTGGTAAAAGCCTTCAACCTAAATCAAATTTATATGATGTTAACTCAAAGATGCAAATAATAAAACATCTTATAGAGCTTATTGTTTATTACTGTTTATAAAAAAAGCATTTTATTCCAAAGAGCAAAATGCTGCCATAAAGCTCCCCTCCAACAAGGTTTTTCTTAAGGCTATGTCAAAAATCAAGAAAGATTTCTTAAAAGATCTAAGAGAATTCTGTTTGACAGTATTAGCAAATCAGATTTTTTTCCCCAATAAACTGGTTTTGCTAATTTTTCTCTTCCTCTTTTTCTTATAAAAATATCTTTATTATAAGGGATGGCTTTTGGGAGGGAAGGGAGAAATAAAGGTGGAGGGAATATGGGCAACATAAATGAGATACAAATAAAATTGTATTTTTACAAAGTAAAAAAAAATCAAGCAAAATATGACAGATGTCTTATTCTCACTAAAGATGTTTACCACTGTTATTGAAGATATGTAGTACAGAATTCAAACTGATGAAGTTATTCCTTGTACAGATGCGCACGTTCCTCAGGTACTCCTGATTGTGGAAGACACTGTTTTGACTGAATCAGGTCCTAGAACATTGGAAAGCTCCTAAATGAGACTCAAAAATCTTATTCACTTATGAAAAACCAAGTGGAGGGAGAATATCTGTCTGAATTATGATACAGATGTGATTTAACATGCTATGGATAAAACATAAAACTAGTCCATCAGTACATATATCCTAGACAGAAAGGACTCATGCACAATGAACAGGACCCAAAACTTGAAGAGCTAAAAAAGAAGGCTGAGAAATTACAGCATTTTTAATGACCTTTACATTCTTCCACTGATGTTATATGACTGCAAGTCACAGAATATCAATATTCAAAGATTTAAATTATTGTAGATTATCCAAAAGGTAGTAAAGGTAGACAGGTTACAATATGTGCCCAATTTAGAAATGTAAAGCACTCAAGATCTCTTCAGAGAGATGTATGGCCAGAAAATAAAAAGGGCCAATCTTACAGAGAGAACAAGGGACCAAAGGACAGTTCTTGTGCTCTCTGGTATCCACTCAATGTCAAGCAATTTAGAGGACAGCCCCCATTAGGCTGGAGAGATCCACTGTGCAGAATTTACACGTGGAATTAAACAAAGAATTATAGTATAGATGGACTCAGTTTTCTTATGGTTAGAGAAATTCCCCATATTGATAAGATCACAGATCCATCAAAGTATCCAAGTAAGTACTGGCTACCAGCACCAACTGCTCTCTGTTGATGTAAGTGCACACTTCTTCCTCCACACCCTCCTCTCAAGTCCCAAATTAGATCTCAGGTTTTAGGAACTAGGCACCTATGTAAATAGTCAGCTGTTCCCATTATGGTCTGACAGGAAGCCCTTTGGCCCACAAAAGAAAACCAATGAGTGTTTTTGTTTTTTTTACATGACATGTTTATTCACTAATATTTTCATTTTTGCATCTGGAATTAGGCCTTCCAGCCCCTTTTACAGAACAATCAGGAGAAGGAAAGCCCTAACTATTCAGTTGACTGAATAAAAAAGATGTCAGGGAAGTTCAAAGCAGTCAGCAACAAAACACCAGAAGAAAGCTGGTACACTGAAGGACTATCTCCTCCCAGGAGGTTTAGAATGCCTCAACACCTCCTCCTGCTTAGTAAACAACCCATTATTTGCTGAGAACTGTAAACTGCAAAGTAGTGGTAGGTGTTGAGGCCTATAGGAAACAGTAAGCCTAAATGCTGCTTCTTCTGGCTTAAACCACAGGGCCAATTTGTAGTTTCATTTTATCCCAGAGAGAAGTATCAACTTTAGAACAAGGGAATTCTAACTGCAATTTCCAATGTAACTGACTGGCTCTGCACTCCCTTTCAAAGAGCTCTCCACAGGTAGGCAAATTTTTCAGAGATGAAAGTTATCAAAGAGAATCTAGAACTCTGTGCAAGAAACTACAATTCTGGATTTTCAGAAAGAACAATGAATGGAACCAATGGCCTGGTTGAAGAAAGTGGCCTCAGAAATGAGAACTCAGAAGTCTTGACATCCTGTTCAGAGAGAAAATCTCTGCATTCTGTTGTATGCCTGAGGACAGATAAACTGTGGGAGCAGAAAGAAAGAGACTTGTAGTAAGAAAGGATTTTTGTGGGGAAAAGGAACGGAAAAGTGAGAAGCTGAGGAGTAGATACACACTTAAGATTCCCTGAGGCAAAAAGGTTGATATGTTGTTAAGGGCAGGACTCTGGAGCAAGGGTAACTCATTCATATAACACTTTACATAGTTCTAATAATGGTATTACCTTATATTAATATTATACTTACTTAATACTTTGATTTTCATAATAACCTTGTGAAATAGGTCCTCTAAACTAACTCACTTGTACATGATGCAGTGAAAAAAAGGACTGGCTTTGAAGGACTAGGGCCCATGTTTGAACTTCGCCTCTATCACTACCGATGTGAGGCACGTCACACACAACTTCTCTGGGCATCAATTTCCTCATTTGCAAAACAAGGAAATAATAATACCAAAGATCTCAAGGTCTTTCCCCTCTCTAAATGTATGATCTTGTAAGATTGAAGCTCAAAAACAATAATTTGCTTAAGATTTTAAAGCTAAGTGGCAGTGTTAGAATTAGAACACAGATCTACACAGTCCTAGTGCAAAACATTACTACATCCCAATGATTTAAGTCAATAAAATTAACTTCAGGATGTGATTACAGTAATGTTGTCTTCTGTTCAGATAATGTTCCTCCCCAAGGTGATGAGAATGCAGAATGAGACACACATTTTTGGTAACAGCAGATACAGGAATTTATTTTGCTTGACTAAGCACATTTGTTGCAAGTTTGTTTTTTTTCCCCTAGTTGGGGAAGGACAGGTAGCAAGGAGAAAAAATGCTTGATAACTGAAAAAAAATCAAGGTTAAAAAAAAAAAGATAATGCTATTAAACCTATCATCAGAATTAGGGAAATGAGCTTTTGAGGTTGATAGTAGTGGGGCTGGATTTTCATCAATCTATCACCTTTGTTCTTAGTCCCCATTAAGAAAAGGGGTGTGTGTGTGTGTGTGTGTGTGTGTGTGTGTGTGTGTGTGTGTGTGTGTG